TTCCTGCTGCGTCTTCACACAGTGGAAGAGCAACCAGCTCTCCCACAGGCCTCTGTAAGGCCTGATATAAGGACACTAAGCCCATTCGTGGGGCTCTAAAAATGCCCTTGTGATCTGATTATATTCCAGAGACCTCTCCTCCTAACCCATCACCTTGGAGTTAGAAGATTAACAGTTTTGGAGGAACACAGACATTCAGACCATAGCAACGCACAATAGCATATATGCAAACGAGCTGAGATGTGTTGAGTGATCAGTGAGTTCTCCTCTTCCCCAGCCACCAGTTCCCCTTCCCAGAGACAACCTGAGTGTCAGTGTGTCCTTCCAAGGGAGCTAGGTACACAAATGAGCAGTAGACATACATACAGGTAGGTGTCTGTTTACAAAGATGGTATAGCATATTGGACCCTGTTCTGTCCTTGCTTTTTCCTTCTAGCAGTCTAGCCCAGAACACATTCCAAATGCAGTTACCAGGTCATTTTTTGCTGGCTCCTTAATATTCCATTGCACGAGTGTACCAGAGTTGACCTAACCAGTGCTCTGTCGATGGTATCAATATTCTTTCCCATCTTACTGAGAGTCTTGTAGTGAGGACATGTCATGTTGCACGTGTGTGCCTATACGGTGAAGTCGTGGCATTGGGACTGCTGAGGCACAGGGTCTGCAGCTCAGGTGACTTGGAGCACTAGGTTTCCTCCAGTGCCAATGCCGCTCATGGGGATAGGACTGAGTCTGTTTCCCCACATCCTGCTACAGTGATAGGGTTGAAACGTGGTGTCTCCTTGTGCTTATAGCAAATGTGAATCATTTTTCCCCTCCTTTTCCACTTGAGTTCATTGGATCTTTTTTTTTTTTCCTTCTTCTTCCTTAGCAGTGCTAGGGAATCAAACCCAGGGCCTTGTGTGTGCTGGCGAGGTGCTCTGCACTGAGCTGTACATTGCCAGCCTGTGGGGTTTTCTTGGGTACTGCATCACCTGGAACTCTTGGAACTTTCTGGACCTTTAGACTTTGCAGGAGGCATTTCAGTGACCTCTGGTGTTGCTTTCCAGGGTGGAGCTGCTAGTGCCATTAAGAATTCCTTGCTCGCTGGGCGTGGTGGCGCACGCCTGTAATCCCAGCACTTGGGAGGCTGAGGTAGGAGGATTGCTGTGAGTTCGAGCCCAGCCTGGGCTACATAGTGAGTTCCAGGTCAGTCTCAACTACATAGTGAGACCCTGTTTCAGAAACCAAAAAAAAAAAAAAAAAAGAATTCCTTGCTCAGACAGTCGGATTTGGTGATGTAGGCCTGAAATGCCAGCTGGGAAGCAGAGACAGGACGATTGCAAATTTGAGCCCAGCCTGGGCAACATAGTGAGTTAGTGAGATCCTGTCTTAAAATTAAAAAATGAAAGAAATGAGTATATAGCTCAGTGTGAAGGTCCTAGATTCAGGTATCAGTAACACACACACACATGAAAAGTCTTCGCTTAATAAAAATATTAGGGAAAAAAAGAATTCCTTAATTCTACTACAGTACTTTAAATTCCATGTTGTTGTTCTCCTAGATCCTTGTATCCAAGGCCGTTACTTGAGACCAGTGCTAGTGGTCACCTTGATTAGGCAGGCTGCTGCTCCTCAGGCAGTAGTAACAGGAGGGACCAGCAGGTGGCAGGCAGGGCATCAGGTGGTCCTTAGCCAGCCTCTGAAGAGCAGCCAGAATCCCGGCATTTGGAAGCTTCCCTTCCCTGACCTCCCAGCAACAGGCCACCTTAGTGGGGTGGGGTGCCTAGCCTTTCCTCCCACCTACACTTGCTGCCATCTCTTAAACTGGTAAGATCATCAGCAGCTGCCTTGAAAGGTGCTTCAAGAGGCCACGCCTCAAGATGACAGCCGGATCTCCTTCCTCTCCAGGAACTAGCTGGAAGGGTTTACCGCCCTGGCCTAGGATGGCTCGGGTTTCCTTAATTACAGGGCTCCACTTCCTGCATCTTTTCAGCCAAATCTCTCACACCCTTCCCATGAAATAGGAGATCCCAGGAACAGGTCCATACCACCTCTTTCTTACCCACTCTGCTGAAGGATAAGGAAAAAGAATGAGCCAGGGGTTTGAGAAGCCCTTGGCTGCCATCCTTTGGGCCTGGGCTCTGGCTGACCGGTGATACTGCCCTCCCCTCAACTTCTGTGTTCTGTGCTAGAGGCTGATTGAGCAGCTCCCTGGGGACAGGGGCTTGCCCTTTTGTGCAGGCTTTAACCCCCAGACCTGGGGAAGGGCTGGGCAGAGGACTTGGCTGGTTGGAAGAGGGAGAGAGTGGTGGCTGCATGGATGAGTGTGGGCCTCTTCCAAGCCGCTGTGCACCCTCTCGCTGCAGGAAGCTAGTAGTGTTTGGGTTGTTAGCAGCACTGGGACGGCCTTGGGAGCTGTTCCCCTGGATCCCCAAAGCTCTTCTGCTCTTAGTTTAGGTCTCTAGATCCTCAGGGAATGACAGGTTGTCCCCTAGTTTGGAGTGGGAGACAGGCAGAGAGCAGTGAAATGTGAGCCCATCCTGTGCTGATTTGGTCTCAGCCAGGGAAGCCAGAGGTTTCACGTCCTCCTGGCTTCTGTGCAGCCTGTTCCCCAAGGGGGTTAACCTTTGCAAGACAGAACTTGTAAGAAAATTCTGGCTGGGCTCCTGCTGGCACGAGCCGGAGGGCAAGGTGGAGGGTGTGGAGGTGTGAGAAAAGGCGGGCAGGAGGCTGCTCCGTCCTTCCCAGGTCATTTCCCAACTGTGCGGGAATTTGCGGCCTCACCAGTTTCCCCAACAGCCTCTTGGATCCTGGAACCAGGAAAACGGAAGGAAGAAAGCAAACTTGATCCCTTCTAGCACAGGTGCCCAGCTGTGGTTTCAGGAGCGACATTCCGTCTCTGCCACCTTGAAAACTCACATGTGGAGGTGCAGTGGCCCAGGCAGCTGAGGCCCAGAGGGAAGTGAGTTGCCTAGGGCTACCTGCTCCTGATTGTGGCTCATACCCGGGCCTCTGCCCCTCCTGCTGCCACCATGTGAACAGAGGTGTTCTCTCACCGTGAGAGAATTGAGCACTGTGTCCCTTTTACAGGTAAGGAAACTAAGGCCATCTGAGTAAATGCCACCCATGGAAGCTGTTTGGACAGTGGGGCGGGAGGTACTGGGGAGGACTTTGGAGTTACAAATACAAGTCATGAGAAAGAAACACTCTGGGCAGTGGGCCTGGCAGCCTCTTAGTAGCTCTGCCTGGAAGCCAGATTGAGAAAGAGGCCTGGAGGGGAGGCTCCAAACTGGGTGGCTGGTCTAGTCTGGCTGCACCTGTTGGGAAAACAGGATGCAAGCTTAGGCCGTAGGAGGCACTGAACTGGCCTGACCCTCCTGGGGCCCAGCCCTAGCTGGCACCTGCTCGGTGGACCTTGTTGATGTCTGTCAGTGAGCCAGCAGGGCCACATGTAGCCTCTTGGCATGAGCCACGGCCAGCAGGGATTAATGCCACACTCCCCCTGCCTGTAGGGTTGCTCATTAGCCTCCCCTACGCCCCCTTAGCAACCACAAGCTCGTGTGGTCAAGAAGCAGGTGTGAGCAAGCTTCCTGCTTTTTCCCTTCCGGGTGATCTCCTAGGCCTTCAGCTCCACTTAATTTCAGCTCCAAGCTAGAAGATTCCTGTGTGAATGTTGTAAAGTGAAGAGGGTTGCCAGGTTTGGAGCTGGGGGCACCCCCACCTTCCCATCCCTGCAGGAGCCCAAGTTATTGTAAACTGGTGTGTGGAATCTTTCCCTCCCTCAGGTTTAGGTCAGGGGCTCTCAACGTCCTGCCCAGCCTGGCTCCGTGGGACCTTGGGCAAGTCACTCGACACTGCCAAGTGGCCGATAACGAACTGGATGGTCTGGTATTTTAGCTTCTTGTCCCATAAAAGACAGAGGCCCATAAATAGCTTTTTAATCTGGAATATAGTTCTTTATTGGAAAAAATGGAAATAAGGCAATAGTAGATATTTCGTTGTGCAGAAAACACTGAGGAGGCTGGGACCAACAGGTACAGGGACACCTTCGAGAATGTGTGGGAGGCTTCAGTGTCACGCTTGTCAAAACCCTTTCCACACTGCGCGGCTCCCTGCCCTAGTCTCAGGCTTCTAGAGTATGTTCAGGGTGTAGGAGGAGGCAGGATTGCCAGTGTGGCTTTGTCTCCCATTGGCTGCATACAATCAGGTTTAAAAAAAACAAACTACAGGTACTATAAAAAGCTTCACAAAACAGGTAAGACGTTCAAAGACCTGGTGATGAAAACTGTATTTTTCTCATTTCCTCCAACTGATTGTACTTGAGGATCATCTGATAGCTCCCATTTTCACTAAATATGTAACATTTACACCCATTTTGGAGGAGGGGGAACGGATGGGAATAACTTTCTGCCTGGCCTCGTTCCTCTGGGTCTAGATGAGAAGTCTGAGCGGGTGGATGGAGGGAAAAGCCCTGTGAACACAGCCCACAGGGAGTCACACTGGAGCCCTCTTAATGAGCAATTACTGTGTGCCAGGCATCCCGTCATACACAGCACATATGATCTCATGTAATCCTTCTGACAACCCTGTAAAAGGTAGGTGCCATTATCTGCATTTCATAGATGAGGAAACTGAGGCCCAGTGAGGGACAGTCACTTGTCCCAGGTGACACAGTCAGTGGCGGAGCCAGTTGAATTTGGAACCAGGGCCCCCGGACATCCTAGAGGCCACCCTGGCATCACCTCCCCACGCTGCTCTGCAGTACAGTGGTATTTGGGAAGAAGGGGCCAGAGCCGAGCTCCCAAGGGCTGCCCACCCCACCTCACCTCAGCCAGCTCATTTCCCACAGCCCTGTTCTTAAAAGGCTCCTATGGCTGCTGGGCGTGGTGGCTCACGCCTGTAATCCCAGCACTCGGGAGGCTGAGGCAGGAGGATCGCTGTGAGTTCGAGACCAGCCTGGGTTACATTGTGAGTTCCAGGTCAGTCTCAACTACATCGACCCTGTCTCAAAAAACAAACAAAAAAAAAGCAAAAAAAGGCTCATAGGGTTCTTTATTGATGTCTGATGGGAGGAAGGCCTTCCCACTTACAATACTTAAAACTTACACCTGTACACAGCATATACACATCCCACCACTTTTGGGGAAGGACAAAGTGGGGAACAGGCCCCTGGATCCCTGGCAGGGGTGACAGGACCGGTGGACAGAGGTGAGTTACTAAGAAGCATCTTGCTTACTGACATGAAGCCTTGTGCCCTGAGAGCACAATGAGGCCTCATTGGCGTAGAGGAGGGCCTCGGAGGACAGGCACATGGTGCCCAACTACCCGGCGGAGCCGGAGTCCCAGGGACGGGGTGGAGGTGGGGGCTGCGCACAGGGCCCCCGCCCGAGCTTCTGCTCCCCCAGGCCTCCCTCCCCGTCCTGAGAGAATAGGGTTTGGGCCTCAGCCACGGACCAACGGCCTTACAGGCAGCGTCTCCTTAATGACAGAGATACAATGTGTATCAACAGGGTGATCACTTCTGACCCACTCAGGCGATGGCCGGAGGTGCTGTGTGGGCCAGAACCAATCCTACAGTATCTTTGGTTTAGGGGTTCCCTTCCCTACTTGGGTCCTCCTCTCCAGCATACAGGGAGGCCTTGGCTGGAATGGACCTCCTGAGTGCAGCCCAGCTGCCTCTTGCGGGCCACACTGCCAGCCTACTCACTGAGCTGCTGAGACTTGTAGGAGAGGATCTCAGCAGCCAGCTGCTGGGGGTCCAGGAGCTGTGGGAAGCGCCCCATCACGGCCTCCACCAGGTGTGGTGGGAAGACGCCACACAGCTTGGTATACACATTGGCCCGCTCCTTGGCCAGGCTGCCCGCCCCGCCCCAGGGGCCTCTGGCAGTCCCTGGGCCTGGCACTAGGGGCTCCTGAAGGACCGGGGTGGGTGGGGGCAGTGGGTACGGCTCAGACCAGTACTCTCGAGGTGGAAAGGCAGGTGGCAGGGGACTGTAGTCAGCAGGGACACTGAAGTGGCCGGCACCTATAGCCCTTCCAAAGGCTGGGAAGGCAGGAGCGGCTGGGAGCTCCGAGCCAAAGGTGCGGTAGCCAGTATAGGGGCCCCGAGTTGGGCTGGGCTCACTAAGGCCTCCCGCTCGCACACCCCACAGTTCTGACATCTGGCTCTCCAGGGAGCCGATGCCCGAATCCAGGCAGTCCTGGGAGGTGTGGGGGAGGGAGTCCAGGGTTGGTGGGAGCCAGTCTGTGGGCCCGAAGCTGCCACCACTGCCCCCGCTATGTGGGAGGCTCCTACCCACAGGGGCAAAGCTCTTTGTCTGCCCCTCCTGGTGGGGCCCTGGGGCTGCCTGGGCCCTCAGCTTCTTGCCATCTAGGCTGCTCTGGTCACCTTCCGTGGGCAGAGAGCCGGACTGAGAAGGTGAAGGCTGCTGGCTGCTTCTGTCCTTGCCTGGGGTCCTGGGGGGTGACAGGAGCGCGTTGGCACGGAGCTCATCAGCCACGGAGCGCTGGGGGCGGCTTGGCCGCTCGGGATGGAAGAATCGGCACTTGATCCCATAGGTGCATTTCCTCCCTGGGAGAGAGAGGGAGAGGGGCTCTAAGCAGGTGGCAGATGAGCTTGGGGCTGGGAGGTCCAATGACAGTCTCGGGTCTTGTGTGTGCTAGGCAACGTGGGGACATAGACTCGGTGTGAGGAGGGCAGGGCCGAGGAGGGCTATGGAGGGCAGACCTGGCTCTCATACCATAGGGGCACGGCTGCTTCCGGTGCTCGGAAGAGAGTGGCTTCTTCCGCAGGAAGTTGTCCAGGCTGGGGCCGTGCCGGCCCAAGGGATCGTCAGGGGGCATGAACCTGTGGAGGGCAAAAGGAACTCTCAGGAGGTGGGAGACATGAGAAACAGCTTCGACATGCTAAGGAACAGGCAGGATGGCTGGGCTTGCTAATCCGAAACCTAACCCTAATACTGTCCGTAAGATGTCTCAGAACTCTGAGCTCTTGGTGGGGTCACCCCTTGGAAGTGGGGGTGCCTAAGTCCAGAGGGCCACAGACAAGGGCTACCTTTAGGGCACCTCCCAGGCTCTGAGGTCATCGCGAGGCTGCAACCCGAGTACCTGAGACTCAGGCTACATGGGTCCCCAGGAGCCCCTGCTGGAGAGAAGCAGGGCAGCTCAGGAGAGCTTTCCTGAACACGGCCCCTATCCTGACTCCAGTGCTACTACTCCAGCTCCTAATCAAAACGCTCCACCCCATCCGGCCTGCTGTCTGCTGCCCATCTCACTACCCGTGCTCCCTGGCACCCACACCATCCCTTCCTGCAGAGCCCACCCTAACCCCCCCTTCCCAAAGATGACCCCCAAGCCCGTCGGGTCCCCTCTGGCGGGAACGTACTTGTCATTGACGAAGGAGTACATGAGCAACCGTTCCTCAATGAAGCGCTTCCACTCCTGCCGCTCACCCTGCAGATCTCGGTATGTGTCGTTGGACACCACGATCCCGTCGGACTCGTAGGCCAGCTTCACAATAAAGCGGTCGTCATAGCACACCACCCGCTTGCCACCAACACGCCTGGATGGTGTGAACACCAGGATCTTCTTCTTTTCCAATTCTCGAAGGATGTGCTGGTCTAGGGATGACAAGACACAGGTCATGGTGCATCCAGGACCCAGAGCCAGACCTGAAAGGCTCCCTCAGCTAGTGGCCAGGCTCGGGCTGTTAATGCACATGTTCACAGGGGCAAAAACCAGTTCTGCCAAGGCCACAGTTTGGCAGTTTGCTGCCTGGAGACCTAAAACACCTGAGCACAGAGCCACTTGTCCCTCTCGGCAAGCACTCTGAGCCCGGAACTGGCCCTCTGCCTCAATTTCTGTGGGCTGCAGGCCTGTTCAAGCCAGGGGGTCTAGGCTTTGGCTGTTATCCCCAGCAGTCCCGTAGGGGTCCAGGAAGAAGTGTCTGGGTTCTGTCCCTTGGTAGGCAGGACAAGGCTATTGGCTTCCATTTGGAAGGAGCCCACAGCCCCAGCCAGCCTGCCCCTACTTCTCCTGATTTCTAGAGAAACAGACTCAGTTTTTATTCCCAAGGCTAGGGTGGGGGCTCCCCATCCCATTTTACGGATGCGAAGTCGATCAGAGCAGTGCTGATCCATCCTTGCCTGAGTCACAGAGCCAGCATGTTTTTGGTACTGGGGATCAAACTCAGGTCCTTGCGGTTGCGAGGCAGGTGGCAGCACCACTGAGCTAAATCCCCAGCCCTACCATGGTTTTTTGACACAGCATCTTCCTTGGCCTTGAAATCACTACATAGTCCAGGCAGGCATCGAACTCGTGGCAATTCTCCTGCCTCAGCCTCCTAAGTGCTGGGATTACAGGTGTGTGCCACCACACCTGGCTGCATGAGCCAGCACTAACTGTGCTGTCTTGGCCCAGAGCACACAGCTTTAACTAAGCTGTGCTGCCTCTCTGCCACTGGGGGTGCTGAGTGACAGACCACCGGTGGGATGAGGGAGATGACCAGTGTCTGAGGCAGAGGGCTAGACAAAGTAACTTCCAGTGAGCACTGTTCAGATCAGGGCTGCTGGGCAAAGCGAAAATGGGAAAGAAATACTAGACCCCGCCCGATCTGGAAGGTGGCCAGTCCTGCCCACAAGGTCCCTCCTGCGGGGAAACAGGGCCCCTGTGGCAGTGGACTGTCCCACCTCCGGAGTGACCACATACCTGAGATGGGTACATCGGGCCGAGGCTGTTCCTTCCTCCAGGACGGTACAAACACTGTGATGTCTGTGTGACCCCGCTCCAGAAACCAGTTCACAGCCAGCAGGATGCCTCGGCAGGAGAAGACCTCCTTGTTCCCGTGGCTGGGAGACAGTGAGAGGAGGGACAGGTCAGTCCACAAGGGTAGCCACATGCTATCACCGAGGCTGGCCTCAAGGCAGCGGGGGCTCAGGCCCCAGCCCTCTGCTGGCTCACAGTGTGGGGATTTTTCCTGAGATTCCATTTCCTGGAGAGAGGATCCACCCAGGAATCCAGTAGTGCTTGCTCCCCACGGTGGAGGAGGGTCGGCCACTTGCAACACACCTGGGGGTGGGGACGGCACTGGGAGACTCCCAGTTCCCGCCCCACCCGGGGGGGGGGCACAGGGACCACAGGGACACAGATGTGCACACACTGCCTGAGTCACCTCCACGTCAGCAGGGCTGCCCGGGGAGGGGGTGGGGGAAACACCAGTCTGGCTAACTGGAGAGAAACCAGATTAAACCGGATTGAAGTTCAGTCTGTGTGCAGAGCCTCAGGCTGGACCCCAGAGGGCGCGGGGAAGGGCTGGCCTTCCCACCCTTCCACCAGGGCAGGAAATGAATGGGCCTGAGGAGCTGTCAGCATGAAAGTGAAAGGCCTCTGGTTTTCCTCAAAATATGCCAGTTCCCTGCAGTGCTGCCCCCCCCCCGTGCTCTCCTTACCCTTGTTGGAAGAGGGCATGACACAAGGCACAAAGATGGTCAGGAAGTCACTGGCGAGTGCAGTTAGGAACCCTAGGAGAACCTGGCCAAGGCTCTGGGGACCAGACACCTCACCCAGAGGTGGTGGGTGGCTCTGGCTCTCAGTTATTCTGTCTGAAAAATAGGCCCAGCAGCCTGCAGCTTCCTTAATCCACATCAGTGTCGGTGAGACAACTTTCCTGTCGGTGAGACAACTATCCTATCGGCTGGAGGCCAAAGTTGGTCTGGCGATGGGCTGCAACAGGCTTGGGCTGGCTCCTTTCCCCAGCAGACCCTGCCTCTCACTGGCCCGGTGGTGAGCAACTCGGATTCACATTTGGCAAGTTAAACAGAATAAATGTTACGCAAAAGAGGCAAGTCCAGGACAGACCACATCCTGTGACTCTGGAGGGTGGGGGCAGTGACAGCTGGAGTCCTAAGAGAAGGTAAAGCAGGAGTCACAGCTAGGGGGCGTGCAGGCTGTTTGGGGGTGAGGCTGGGGCTCCAGGGTCTAAAGGTCTCCTTCAATGGAAAGGAGACAAAGTCCAGCCCCTAGGCAGCACTCAGCTCAGAAAGTTAGCATACATAGAGGGCTGTGCACCAGGCTGTTCTAAGTGCATCATGTGCAAAGCCACAGGGGCGGGGGGACTATCAATCCTGTCTTCTTTCTCCTCGGTGCAGATGAGAAAACCATGATCCAGAGAGGATAACTCAGTCATCAGGGTCACACAGCAAAAACAGTGGGGAGCAGAGCTGCACGCTTATGCTTGGACCAGTGCCAAGACAGGGACAAAGCCTGAGGGTGGAGAAAGCTCAGGGACAGTAGAGGGCAGAGCCATCAATTCATCCTTACAAGGCTTCTGACAGAGAAGGAAAGGGGGTGCTCCTGGTAAGGGATGGAAACTGAACCCAGGTCTGGGGCTGCCACATTGCCTTCCTGTCCCTGGAACAGAAGGCTCACAGTTTATTTGGGAGCAGAAACCTCCAAGACTTGAGTTCGAACAAAGCCGCTTGAGGCAGGACAGCAGGCTAGGGATAGGAGAAATGATCTAGCAGAGCTGGCAAATTAGTCTCCCGTGCTGTCACTCTCCCTGTCCTCCGCTGTTTTCTGAGGCCTGTGGGGGTGTGGCCGCCTCAGGCGTGGCCCCTTGTGCCAAGTGTAAAACAGGCACAAACTCCACTTGCTTCTTCTGGAACACTTGTGTGTGCGCGCGTGCCCCTCCTGGCCTGCATCTTTACATCTTGGGACTTCGAGGGGTGCCAGAATTCTTGGGGTGTGTACTGCCTCCGGGCACTGAAACCTTGGCTGGGAACAAGTGTGCTGTCTGCTGCCCTCGCACTGGGCACATTTTCTCAGGAAGCGAAGAAGGCCCTTCTCCAGGCGGAAGCAGAACCCAGCAGCCTGGAGCTTTCCCCAGCAGTGAATCCAGTCCCTCTCCGCAATGAGGAAGCTCGGCTGCGTCAGCTGTGCTGGTGGGTGGGGCAGCGGGCACAGGATAACCAGACATCCTCTCACCCCCACCTGCCCTCACTACGACCCATTAGTCCGAATGGCTGGACCTCTAACCTGGCTAGCCAGACTGCTAGGATGCGTAGAGGGAGGCTCCAGCTTGGCTGCTGCCGCCCCAGGACAGAGGAGAAGGTTGGGCCAGGCTCCCCAGGTGAAAAGATCTGCTGGGGTTGGGTATGACTAGTGGAGAAAAATTCCCGTAGAAGGAAATAGAGGTGAATTTCCCCACAATTTGCATACGGTGGGGGCTAGCCCGCCTGCCCTTGGGGGGAAGGGTGGCAGGGCAGGAACCCAGCAGCGGCTGAGACAGGAAGTCTGAGCCTGGAATTCCCCTCTAGCGGCTGCCCTGGTTCAGACACCTCTGGCAAGCAGGCAGGCAGGCAGGTGGTTCTCTCTCTTCAGCTTGGCCCTCTGAACACCCAGTTGCTATCCACCTCCTCCACCCCAAGTCCTTTCTCCTGCCAGGATACGAACACAGGCAGCACATGGCTGTCTCCAGGTGCAGCCACTCCAGGCTCGCGTCCCCAGGGGAAGCAATCCAATAGCATTCACCTGGAGCCTGAGATGACCCCTAACTCTCAAAGGGCAGCCCTCTGGCACGGAAACCAGTGTTTCTCAGCCCCTCATCCAAGATCGACCCATTTCAGAGATGGCAGAGTGACCTAAAGTGGTGGGAAGAGGGCTCACCTGCATACCTGCTGAGCTTGGCCAGGACCAGTTGGACAGCTCACTCGCCCCTGCTGGGCTAGGAGAAGGTGGGGCCAAATGCCAGGTTGGGCAGAGGCTGACTTTATGGCAGCCTCAGGCAGCCCACTTGGGAGATGCCGCTGGGCAGCAGCAGAAGATGCCCTTCCCACCTTCCACCGTGTCAGGGTCTCCCCTTGTCTGTGCCAACAGGAACTTTTCCTTGTGAGTGATCCACCCACTCCTGACTCACCAGCCACTCTGCGGGGAACTGGAAGAAAGCAGGCTGGAAGGTGGGGCCAGGACTGAAGGGAGAAGTCAAGTCAGGGCTCCTTGAAGTTGGCAGCAGCCCTGGTCTCACCCTCCGCCCCTCATCCCGTGCCCTCCAAGCACCATGGAGGGACATTAGAGTTGAGTCCTGCCTCTGGCCCTGGGAGCCTCAGAGCATTAGGCCTTCCTCTCCCACCCACGAGCCAGCCAGCTCCAGCCATGAGGTTATTCCTGGCCATGGCTGTGAAGGTCTCAATAGCTGAGCCTTCTTCCATGGGAAACCAGGGACCAGAAGGCCTCAGAAGACGCCGCCTTGAATGATAATCAAATAATGCCAACTGCTGTTTATACAGACTGCCTCACTCCCACTCCCCACAAGGACCACCTGGGCGAGGGTTCGCTCCATCCCACAGATGAGGAAAAGTCTCAGAGCGGTTAAGTGGCTGGCTCCTGAGAGAACTGAGCCCGCAGGTTAATGCCCAGCAGGGCCTGCCTCACGTCAAGTAGGAGGCATCGAGACTGAGAGGGCCGGTCTCAGGAGAGACCCACAGCATATGGCGAGCACCAGGGCCAGAGAAGGACCTGGATTCGAACCCTTACTCCATCATTAAGAGGTAGTGTGACATTGTTCACCGTGCTTCTATCCCTATGACAGTCCTACAAAACCCACTTTGAACAGGTCACTAGGTTTAAGGGAGCCTCTTGCACGCAGAAGGATCTCACACAGGTTCCTGCCATCCACAGTCCAAGGCCCTTTAAAGAGCGGCCCACACATCACCTCCACTCCATGCATCTTCTTCACAGAAATGACACATACCTCATGGCCACATTGCTCCCATCAATTACCACTGGCCTCAGGTCACTGCCCTCTTTGTCCTCCTCTGGGAGAGAGGGCTCCAGAGTGGGAGCCTTGGGGGTGCCCCCGCCGCGGGGTACCAGAGGGGGCTGTGGGCAGGGCTCTGGCAAGGACTGGCGCTCACGCTCCGTGGCTGAACAATGCGTCACCAGCTCCCCCAGCACCGTGTTGGTGTCGGCCTGGATGCCCAGCTTCTGCAGGACGCTGTGGATCTCGGAGGCCGAATAGCCCAGCTTCCGGAAGAAGTCCACCTTCATCTGCAGCTCCGAAGAAGCCGAGGCATCCTCAGCAGCTGGCTGGTGGGTTCCCCGACAGCTGTGGCTGTCCTCAAGACCCCACAGACTCATGGCCGGCCTCGTTTCCAGAATGGGCCTCTCTTCACAAGGGTCGTTCATATCTCAGGCTCCCGGAAGGCACCCGCCACAGCTCCTGTGGGGCAACCACAGGGTTAAGGACGGAGACAAGCACTCTGTCATCCTCTCTCCCACCTGTTCCACTCCACAGCTGAGGCAACAATGCAGCGGCCAGCTTTCTTCGTGAGTCAGCTGCAGTGTCCCAGCTAGGGATTACCACTCCCATTACATACAGGGGTAAACCGAGGCACGGACAGCAGGTTTTGGCTCAAGGTCATCCAGCTGTGTGCCGGTGACACAAGAATCCGAACTTAGTTTGACTCCACCCCCAAGCCCACCCCTACGCTAACTCGGGGGACCCAGAAGGAAGGGCGGTGCTCACAGATGGAAAGCCGGGGCTGGAAGCGCGCTGGGGTAGGAGAGGCTTCCCCGTCGAGGCCATCGCCCTCTTCTGCCCGCCCCACACGCAGCAGCCTCGTCCCAGGAGGCGTAGACCCCATGGCCAGACTCTTCAGGCCAGGGCAGGGCAAGTTTCTGGGGTGAGCCCTCGGGGAGAAAAGTTGCTGGGAGACTGTGGTTGGCTGCCGGGCGCCGGTAACACTAACGAAGTGGCGGCCCAGAGACTCGCCCTCTCTCCGTGCCCCTGCGCTGGGCTCCCCCAACTTGGGTTGAGGGGGGCGGTTCTGAGGTCTGTCCTCCGCCCAGACCCCGTCGGCGCCCCACCCCCACGCTC